TGTTGAATTTGATTTCGATTTTTTTACCTGATCATCTGTATTTGCAGCCTTGGGAATGTTTAGATGTTCCTCTATCTTTGATAAGCGAGTGTTTGTTGTTCTGAATCCCTCTTGCACAATCTTGTATAAGTTGTCTAACTTATCCATGATTGACTCACCAGATGAAGACGGTTTTAGGGTCTCTTTGTTTCGTAACTGATACGACATGATGGCTATTTCTTCCATCACTGCACCAACATCCAAGCAGCCTTTAGTCCAGTCGTCAACTGTCAGCTTGTAGCCCTTGTTAATAACTTCCATTAAAAAGCTCAAGTCTTGATCGTTAGTGTCCTCTAAAGCTACATAATCTTCTTCATCACCAGGTATTGAAGGTAATATGCTCATCACCTTCAGCTGCAAAATTGAAATCTTTGTTAGTAAACAATTCTCAAATATCTACAAATTGAAATTTATAAAGGAAGGCTTAGATATTAACTTACATGTTTCAATGCTTCAATGTTCTCCACTTGAGCAATTGATGGACTGGCAGTGTTTGTGTATTTCTCACACAAAAACGCTTGTGGACTCTCTATGACACTGATTGTGCTGAATGAAGATTGTAGCAGAGGCACTGATTCTAGAATCCAAAGATGCAATGCTAGAGGTTAACCATGGAGATCGTATTTATTCTTTACTAGATTGGATGGCACATTCTTCTTGATTGAAGAAAGCAACAATTTGTATGCATATCTCCCCCAAGGATGATTCATTATGACTTGTATGTCTTGAGCTTTCTTGAGCTTCTTGGCAGGGAACTTGTTTCCTTTGCATCGCGGGAAGAATATGCCTTCTATAAGAATCAGCATAGCAAGACAAAATCTTTCATCCAAGTCCTCTCGATTAGCTTTTCTTAGAATCTCGACCACGTCTTCACACGTGTGTGCCTGGTCATTGGAAGCCCAATCAAAAGTCTTCTTCTCTGCATCTTTATTCTGCTCCCATTCTAAGCATTTCAAGCCTGTGACCATATGAAATTCTCTAATAGAGAATCTCATTGGCTGCCCCCCAAAGTGTACCCATATTTCATTAGACTTCGAAACTTTCAAACTTCTGCTCAGGAAACAGTGCACCATCTTTCCCGACATTATTAACCCTCTTCCAATTATCTTCAAGACTGGTCCCAGGAATGTGCTTTTGATCCTCTGAAACTCTTGGGGTGATAATATGCTCTTCACTTCTTTAACCAGTTCATAGCTTAAGAATTGGTTGATCTTGACATCTGACCTCGGCTCATCTCCTATTTTGAAGCAAAGCTCAGGGACCTTGATGTCTGTAGGGAAAGAATCTCCCATGTCCTGCAACAAAAAAGACATATATGGTCTTTAGGAAAGTCATCTTAAAGTATAGAAGACCTTACTGATTGGCCTAGGAAAATTTTAATTAAAGAGACTATTGCAGTTCAAATCAAACACGCTTTCATGAAAACACTTAAAACAAATTCATACTGTTATTCACAAAACAAACTGTAACATCACAAATCAAACAATCACAAATTTATGTAAGTATAAGCTGTCAATTCTCAGTCTAAACTAGCACAAAGCAAACTCTAGCCTTGTCTATAACAAATCAAACTTTAGTATTCTCAGGCTGCTATTCACCAAAACTCTAGCATTCTCATTACTTATCAATTCAAACACTAGCATTGTCTATCACAAATCAAACTCTAGCATTCATTACTTAACACAAACTTTAGTATTTTATTGCACAAAATGTACATGAAAACGACCATAAATTATAGCATCAAAGCTAAACTGAAATTGTCACAAAACCATACTCAAAATGAACTCAAACTCAAAAATTCGAGTATTCTCATTACTTATCAAATCAAACTCTAGCATTGTCATATCTTACACATAGAAACAACTTCCTAAAGACTGGCCACGACTCTACTTTAAATAATTCAAAGCTATTTGAAACAATTCAAAGCTAAATCAACATGACTTGTTTTGATTCTACACTCATGCTACCATTCATAAAAACGAACAAGCTTTAAAATACAAAACAATTCACACTCTCATCAAAACTAATCCAATAAATCATTGACACATTCATAGAGACACTCACTTAGACACATTCAAAAATCTATCGGGCTGACATTCTTAAAAACAAAACTTTAGCATTTTTACCACAAAACTCTAGCATTTCTACTATGATGCTATTCACAAAAACATAACCATAGCCTTAGATCTATAATGTAACAAACAGCATATAGTGAACAAGCACCAAAACTCAGAATAGAGGTTTACCATGTGTTCAATCAACTTATATCACAAACTCGATCTAACACTAAACTTAATTAGATTTAACACGAATCTATTAAACTTGATTGTATCCAACACTTAAATCAATTGCAAATATACCACGAAACTATTAGCAAAAATCAAACTATAAAAGAAGATTTAGGAAGAAGAAGATTCAGGAATACAAGGCGAAGTCTCGGCTAGGAGGCGAAGTCTCGGCGAGTAGGCGAATTCTCGGCGAGTAGGCGAATTCTCGGCGAGTAGGCGAATTCTCGGCGAGTAGGCGAATTCTCGGCGAGTAGGCGAATTCTCAGTGAGGCGGTGAAGAAGATTGAATCGTCTGATTCAGGAAGGCTTCGGGCGGTGACGACGGCTTCGGCAACGGCAACGGCGACGGCGACAGCAATGGCGACGGCGGTGAAGAAGATTGAATCGTCTGATTCAGGAAGGCTTCGGGCGGTGACGACGGCTTCGGCAACGGCAACGGCGACAGCAATGGCGACGGCGCCGGCGACAGCGAGGGAGAGGATACGTTCGTCGGCGATCGTCGGCGATCGAGAGGAAGAAGAGTTGATTTTAGGTTTTCAGATTTTTTGGTCGATGGGTGATAGAAATCAGAGGGGTAGTTTGGTCAATATTGTTTAATGAAATATGGTATGGTTGGAATTTTTTGGGCCTGATGGTATTTGTGGCCCAAAAACATAAAATCATGGTGTTTTTGAGAATCTCCCTAAAAAATATTTTAAACAAGATTCCTTTTCTAGTTTTTGTGTTATTTTTAATTTTTGTGATAATTCATTTTATTAACTAAAAGATATATATATCTTACCTATATGAAATATAGCAAATATTCATTAAAATCCCACTAAGTCCAATAGAAGCCCTAAATCTTAGTTGAAGAGTAGAGCTCGAATGTCGACAGGTGGCAACTCAATGGAGCAAAGAGGACATCGAGGAGTGTGCAACAAGTAACGAGAAATACAAGTTGCATGGAAGATGTGATTACATTTTGTTTTATGAACAATTTCATCTTCTTTTGGATACCCATTTTCACATATATAGATGACACAATTCCAAACTTTGGTAACAATCAACGATCTCTGACGTTGGTGGAGCAATTGGTACCAGTCTAGTTCTTGCATCTTCAACACTTAGAACAGAGTCTCTGATTCTCAATATGGACAAAAGAATAGATGTGATGTCAATCTCAGGAACATGACCTTGACTAAACCCTCTAATTTGAAAGTGAAAGACGAGGACAGGACACGCGGGAGGTACGACATCAAAATCTTTAAACGAATAATTGGAGACAATATAGTCGAAGATCTGAGTTATGTTGTACTCATGTGGCCTCATGGTTGACCAGTCGACCAAATCTATGAATGCTTTGGACAATCCAGCTTTTCAACCTCTTCCCTTGTCCTTTTCCTGTGTATTCAGTCATTCGAAACTGTTCAGCTATGTGTCCACTTGAAGTGCTTCTTATTAGAACTCCGACATCAGACTGAGCTGGCACATCAAATTTGTAAAGCCTAAGGTTACCGAGAAGAGATTTCATAAGGCTCATTGTTATTTACTAGATTGTGTACCCGCGCGTTGCGCGGAATTTAAATTTAAAACCTCTTTTATCAATATTAATCTTTTAGCATAAGTATAATAATCATTCAAAGTATAAAAGATAAAAGCTATATAATTAAACACTAAACTAAATTTTTAAGCGATTAACTTATATATTGTTGGCGATAGTGTTTTCCTGACAAATAAATTATTTAATATTATTACATGATAACAAAGATTACTTGAAAAGATTTGCGAGAAGAGTAAATGGCATTGACGACCAGCTCATGATCCTAAATGTAGATATCATTTACGATTAGATGTTGATACAAATATAACACCGTTCTATATATCACACGAATTTACCGAGCCTCATATACATTATTAAGTGTAAAGATACATATATAATATCATGTCGCTAGAGTAGGTTTAGCGAACTTGCTTTATCCATCGGAAAAAGTGCAATTTGGTAAAAGAGAACTCTTGACCAAGTCATGAGTGTGTCTATCTTATCTCATTCCTATAACTAACGGTTAAGTCCGACTTTGAATCTAGTAGTATGTCTTGAGTTTTAGAAAAATTCACTTCATTTCACATTATAAATGAGATATCAAATATTTCAACATTTAGTCATATACATTATCTTTTAAAGTTATAGTCATTTATATTCAATTGCTTTTAATTACTAATTCTCTTGTGATCTTCTACGATTCACTCGTTACCTCTCGACATCTAGTTTATTTCCACCTTCTATTAACTCTCATATAATATATATTGAAGTGTGAGTTGATTTTTAAGACATATCATAACAATTTCTTCCTTAATTATAGTCCATTTTGGGTTAAAAGCATTTGATTCAAATGATGGGATATCAAACTTGTTTTTCTTTTTTATTATGATAGAAAGTTATAGTTCCACTTGAAAATAAGTAAACTTTCTTTTTGAGATATGCTACACAAATTACATATCACTTTACGACTTACATATCACTTTCTATATATTTTATTGTAAAACTCATGAATAATGTGATAGTTAATTATTTATTATTTTAGAATATGGATAATAATGTTTTTTATAATTTTTATATTTTTGATAGAATTAGTGTGACCTTTCAAATATTTTTCGTCTTAGAGTATTTTAAATTAAGTTTAATAATCTTTTGTTTTTAGTTAAAATTTAATAATAAATAAAAATATGTAATATTTGTTTAGAATTTATGTTTCACTTTAAATTTATTTTTCCTCTTTAAAATTCTAAAAGTAAAATTACAAACAATTTGTATTATTCTACCATGCATTTAAAATTTACTTAAATTTTAAAACACATTACCACATTTAAAGTTCCAAAGTATGATTATTTTAAAATTTGTTGTTGTTTAGAGTTTGAATCATACTATTATTACTAATAAAATTCTCATAGTATTGGGTTTAAATTTAATTTATTTTACATATTTTTAATTTTATTACCATGAAAAGAAATTATATGTTAACATTATGTAAAATTCTTTTTTCTTTATCTATAATTTTTATTAATTATAAATAACATATTATGCACTAAATGAATGTTAAGAAGTGAGGAAGTTGCAGAGAGGATATGCTAAACCTTTTCGGACTGAACTGTAACACCTATATTATCAAAATAAATGTAAAATCACTGAAACTTAGTTGGGGATAAGAAGCAATGGACTGGGTTTAGAATTTGCTAGAATTAACTTACGCATTTAAGTATCTTAGGCGTGGAGATTTGAAAAGCAAGAATCTCATGAGCGATTATTAAATCAGAAAGGGACTGAGTTTCTTAATTCTGATAAGCTATAGTGGAAACGACAGAAATCCGTAGAAGAAAAAACATAAGTGAGAGACAACTTAAACCTGCCTATTAACTTATTTGGATTTATATTATATTGGGCTAAACAATGTGGTCTTTTTAATTTCATAGAAAATAAACCCAATTTGAATATAAAAGTTCTAGAGCTTAAATTACAAACTAGCAGGCCAAAAGATAATAAAATGATACACAAAAATATGGGTTTATATTATTTGTTGGGCTTGACATAAAAATTAGAAAAAATGTTGATGTGGACAGCTTTAGAGGGAGAGAGAACTCTCTCATTATATATATAGATTTTGTTCAAGTTAGAGAGTCTATTACCGAGTATGTTTGTCATTTCTTATAATAATAGGCAAGCATATACAATATATAAGTTTTACTACTTTCCTAGACATATATATTTAATTAATCCAATCATTTATCTGTAATTTTTATTTTATTTTCTTATTAATAGTGACATATGTCTTGAAAATAATTCTTATTTGATTTGTTTCTGTTCTATACACATTAGCTATTGATTCTCTAATCATATATATTTTGAGAATTGAGATTCACATACATTAACAGGAATACAAGGATATAAATAATAATCATCTATAACATGCAATTGCATCATTTTTAATTAATATACATTAGATAATAATACCTATAACAAATCATTGTCT